AGCTCTGCTGGAGGATTAATTTCTCTTCCAGCCTCAGTGTCTCCTATAAAAATGGGAGTAACATCCTCTCATAGGCTGCGGTGAGGATTCCGTGAGTTCCTGGCACAGAGGGGAAGCTCAGTAATATTAGCAACGAATGGTCAAGGGTGTCTCCACGACAGGTGCTGGGCGGCAATAAACGCCATCCCGCATTTCAGGGACCTTAGCCGGAGGGAAGGCAGCCAGAGTGCTGGCAGGGCAAATTCTAGGGGACTGCCCACCCGAGGTTCTTCGTTCTTTCTCTGCTGGTGAGGAGCTCGGATTCTGAGCCCGAATATCCAGGTTTCAGGTTCGAATCCCATCTATGTACTCACCAGGGATGTGACCCCGAGCACGCGGCCTCATTTCTCAGGGCCCCGGTGGCCTCACCAGTGACAGGAATTGCTGACGGGACTGAATGCAGTGTCATGAGCAAAGCACTTACAACAGCGCCCTGCACAAAATAAGCATCTGTTGCCAAGGAGATCCTAAGGCAAGAACTAAAGCATGAAGAAGGAATAAAAAGTTTCAACATGACGCTAAAACTTGTGACTAAAAGCAAACCCTTCAAGACAGGCATGCATTTAAATATTGAACGTGCAGCCCTGGCCTGGGTTCTCGGCGGTTGGAGAGTCCGCTCACACACCGAAGGGTCCCCCGGGTTCGATTCCTAGTCCCTCCCTCCCACTCCTTCCCTCTCTCCACATGAAAAATCAATGGGAAAAGAAGGCTTGGGTGAGGATTAACAAAAAAATTAAAAAATAAATGTTTACTGTCTGATGGAAATAGCGCCCCCCTCCTTCAGAGGCCCTGAAACACGGGTGGAAATGCAAACCCGGGAAGGAGAGGCCAGTCCCCTGTGCCTCCGGCATCTGCCCTCCATGTCTGCATGTGGCACTGCCAGCCATCTTCCTGGCACCCAGCATGCCCCAGCCTGACCCACCGCGCTGACTGGCGGCACCAGCTGGGGTGGCCTCAGGGGGAATGCCAGGGAGTTCGGGGAGCAGCTGGCCAGGCCCGCCCCGCGGTTTCTAGTTGCCCCGAAGCGCGCGTGGGGCGTGCAGAGCTCTGGAGCTGAGCTGCCAGGTGAGCGGAGGGGGCAGGGAGGCCGGCACCCGCCCTCGCCACACGGGGGGCTCTCCTCTGCTGCCCCCAGACCGAAGCCAGAGACACCGCCAGACCTGCAGCTTCACTCCCTCAGCGGTTTGTCTGCCCAGAGAGAGTGGGGGACCGGTGGCACTGAGGAGAAGCTTCCAGAACACTCATAGGGGTCCTGGGCTAAGTGCAGCTCCTGCCCAACTCGTTGAACCCCCTAACCAGAACCCTCACAAGCGGGTCCCGTCATCATCCCCATTTTCAAATGAAACGAGGCTTGGTCCCGACCCCGACTGCTCGTGGCTGACGGACTCCGAGGCGGCTCTGCCGGACCCCACACTCTGGCCGCTTCGGACAGCCCAGCGAGGCCCCTCGGGGCGTGACCCCGGCTCTGGGACCCCGAAGAGGAGGGTAGGCGTCGCTCAGGCTTCCCCCGCAGAGACAGACGGCACTGCTGCAGCGCTCCCCGCACTCTCTGTCACACACCGTGTCTGCCACCAGAGACCCCCTCCGAGGAGGCAAACACCGTCCCCTCCGGCCCGGCACACAGCCAGCTGTCCCCGGCTGCTCCTCCCGCACAGCAGGGCGCCTGGCCTGTGGCCTCTCGGCACCTTCACCCCCATCCACAGGCAGGGCGGGGAGGAGGTGCGCCCACACCGGGACCTTTTCTTTCTCATCCCCGCCTCCCCCTGCCTCAGGGGGCGGAGAGGGTCCCTGCGGAGGGTGGGTAGCGTGGCCGGCGGTCAGCCCAGCGCCCTCCTCCGCACGCCCCGCCCCAGAGCTCCAGGCCCGCGGCGGGAGAGGGCCCGGGCCGAGGTGAGCTGTCCGCCTTCACAGGCCTGTGTCCGGCTCCCGAGCCCGGGGCGGCTCCTGAGGGCGCTGCACTCAGAAGCCCCACAAAATGCTGCTGTGTCTTCTGAAGCCAGCGCGGCGTTTAAGCCGGAGACACACTCCGTGGTCACAGCAGCGTTGGTCACAGCAGCTAACGGGTGGCAGTGCCCAAGGGCACGTCCGTGAAGGAGCGGGGAGACGCCCACACGGACTGTTACTCAGCCTCAAACAGGAAGACACCGGGCTCAGGGGAAGCAGTCACAGGGACAGACACTGCAGGCGTCAACTCCAGGACGTTCCTAAAGGAGTTAGGTCCGTGGTCGGCAAACCACGGCTCGGGAGCCACATGCGGCTCTTTGGCCCCTGGAGTGTGGCTCTTCCACAAAACACCACGGCCTGGGCGAGTCTATGTTGAAGAAGTGGCGTTAGAAGAAGTTTAAGTTTTAAAAATGTGGCTCTCAGAGGAAATTTCAATCGTTGTCCTGTGGATATTTGGCTCTGGAGACGAATGAGTTTGCCGACCTCGGAGGTAGACCCACAGACACAGGAAGCAGGTGGAGGGAGCCAGGGGCTGGGGAGGGGAAGGCAGGCTAGTGTTCGGTGGGGACAGGACTCCAGTTTGGGAAGATGAGCCGGGTCTATGGCTGGATCGTGAAGAAGGATGCACAACAGTGTGGACGTGCCGAATGCCACTGAGCTGTGCACCTAGAATGGTTAAAGTTGTGAACTTTATGTTGTGTGTATTTTACTACAATAAGAAATAGCTGTTTGTTTTGTTTGTTTTGTTTTTAAAAAAGCCAGAGCTGAATAATACTCAACAGACAGGGGCACCAGTTGGAAGAACCATCACTTGTGGGCGTCTGTGCCAGGACAGGGCCATGCTACACCTGGGACCCCACCACCGGTTCCGAACCAGGGCCAGCTGTCCGGTGCCCAGATGCCAGGAGCTCAGGGCCCTCGCCAGGGTCAGTCACAGCAATGCAACCCACAGGGCTGGAAAACAAGCTTTGTTCTCAAGAGCAAGAGTTAAAAAAATAAAATATTAAAAAAAATAGCCTGCTGAAAATATCAGGGGCATTTACTGATAGAACGGTCCTAGATATTTTGACTAAAATGGAGACAAAAATAAACCCACAGAAGCATGCCTTAAATTATATCCCAAGACATATGAGCCCTGCGCCTTTCAAACAAGCTCCTAGATTTGGAGAACTCAGCCTGGGATAACAGAGCTCACTGTTCTCCCTGCTTCCCGCCCCATCTAGCAGCGGCTCTCGCGTTCCTGAACAAAGCAGTCACACAAACACATACGTGCTTTCTTGTGCCTGAGTTGGTGCAAAGCCCGCTGTGTTTTATTAGCTGTGCGGCCTCAGGCACGTGAAGTTACCTCCCTGGTCTCCAAATCAAGGATAACGGAGCTCCCCTTGCAGCTGTAGCTTAGCTTCCCTCTGTCCCTGACCTACCAACAGTCTCAAGGTTTTCCCACAACGTAATAACCATCACCCCTTCCTCCAACCACAAACTTCAGATTCTCTTCACTTCGCTGCCCACCCTCTCCGAATAGGTGTGGTGGCCCCCGCTCTCCCATGTCTCACAGATGTTCCCACCTCCCCACATCTGTGCAGTGAAGGCTCCTCCTCCGGGGCTCCGATGGATTCCTCACTGAGAACCCCACAGACTCCACTCAGGGCTCATGGTCGCGTTGGGCTCACGTGAGAAGACCCTCCTTTTCCCCTCCCTTTATCTTTTATGATACAACCCAAAGGCCTTGCACTCACTTTCTTCCACCTCCATCCCATGCTCACGAATTCTTCCCAGGGAGTTTCACAATGCAGTGAGGGGCAGAGGAGACAATGCTAGTGAACAAGCAACAAGTGTGTGCATGTGGGACTTCCCCGCCCTGGACAGCAATACATGAAAAAGCCACGGGGACCAGAACAGTTACGGCCCTGGTGCAAGGACAGACAGGTGTGTTTACGAATACCTAGAATCAGACCCCAAATCAACAATGAAGGAGGACATTTCTGCAATAAACAGCATTAAGATTCCCCCCCCCTCTTGTTATTTTGGGGAAAATGGACATCCTTTCAAATCATACACACAAATAGATCCCAAAAGTCCAGGGTGATTTTTTTAAATGATGATAATGGAAATAGAAAATTTGGGGGGAAAACATTTGTTTTATGGATAGAAAGAAACATTTTAAGCGTAAAGTAACCTAAGAGGCATATGCAAATCCAGCTCTGAACTCAACAAACCTGTAAGTTTCTCTGTCAACTGACATCTAGAGCATTTGAACAAAATGCCTAAAAACACAACTGGTAAGGGTTAACAGCCTGCATCTATGCAAACTGCACACAGGTGAACATTTCAAAAGCCACGAAGGTCCTAACGGATAGATGGACAAAAGACATGAACAGGAAGAGAAACCCCAAAGGACAAACACCTTTTAAAAGGTTCAACCCTGATAACAATCAAAGAAATGCAAATAGAACAGCTCCTCCCTCCAGTGAATTATGAAAGATTCTCTCAAACAACACTCGGCGAGGCCAAGGTGTCCCCTGTGCCAGCGCCCAGAGGAGCTCCCGCTGGTACAACATTTCCAGAAAGCAATTTGGCAATCGGGATCCGGAACCTTTGACCCAGAAATGTCACTTCTGGAAAAGCAAGGCTTAAAGAAACAAATTCCCCATAAAGCTTTGTTCACGGGACAACTGGAAAGACTCCTCACCCGAGGATATTTTCCCACTGATTTTCAGAGAGAGTGGAAGGGGGAGGGACAGACAGAGAGAGAGAATTATCCAACGTACATGCCCTTGACTGGAACTGAACCCGGGACCCTTCAGCCCACGGGCGGACGCTCCATCCACTGAGCAAAACCGGCGAGGGCTGGAAATAAAGTTATTCGCCCACAGCCACGTACATTCACTGACGTCCAGCCTGCAGAGCCCAAAGCGTTCTGTGTCTGAGCCTTTGCAGAAAAGACCCGCCCTCCCAGTCTGGGGGTGCCCCAGCTTCTCTAACACACCGGCCCGAGCCCCGCACACACCCCGGCGTACCTTTCTGGCAGTGGCTGTGCGTCCAGCACCGTTCCACAAAGTGCCCGTTGATGACCGTGGCAGGGCAGCTGGTCTTGCCCTTGGCCGTGCCCGGGCAGACGTCCCCGCACTCCTCGTTGTTGTCCTTGTTCAGCACGATGTAGTTGTCCTCCACCGAGTCCAGGATGCGCGACCAGTCGATGGTGGACAGGTAGCAGAGCTCGTTGTTCTTCTCGATGCGCACGGCCCCCCGCGTGATGTTCATGAGGCTGTGCAGGCCCAGCTCCCGCAGGTGCACCATCTCAAAGATGACCAGGGCGTAGTTGAAGAAGAGCCGGGAGCCCCGGATGACCGTGAGGTTGGGGAACAGGTCCTTGAGGCTCTCCAGCCCGTAGACCCGGAACAGCAGCAGGTAGTCGGTGATCATGACGAGCTTGGGGAAACTGAGGTCTCGGAAGTCCTCGGGCCTCGTCTTGAACATGAGCAGGATCTGCAGGTGTCCCTCTATGACGGAGCAGTTGGCCAGCTCGTGCAGCCGCGTCAGGTTGTTGCGGATGTCCATGCTGGGGCACA